ATTCCTGTGGATGTGATCTTCATAGATCTAAGTAAGGCTTTCGATAAAGTCTCCCACTTTGGTCTTAAATTCCAACTAGAATGTTCTGAAATCCATTATACAGTCGTAGATTTGATAAGTAACGTTCTGCATGAGAGAAGACAAAGGGTAAGGGTAACTAGGGCTCTCTCCTCGTGGGTACCTGTAAAAGGTGGAGTCCCCCAAGGTACAATCCTGGGTCCTCTTCTCTTTTTACTTTATGTAAATGAATTACCAACCATAGCGAAATCATCCGTTCTACTCTTCGCTGATGACATAAAGAGTTGGAGACCCATACATAGTATGTCGGATATAATAGTATTACAGGACGATCTTACCGCATTGGTGGCATGGTTAGACAGGTGGTCACTAGAAGTCAATTCTAATAAGAGTGTAGTGATGCAAATACATAACTATGGTGAATCGTATCACTATACAATATGTGGACTCGTGCTACCCAAAGTAAAAAACTATACAGATTTAGGAGTTATACTGAGCGCTGATCTCAAAACCACTAGTCACTATAAGGCTTCTGCTGCGAAAGGCTATAGGGTATTTTAGCTATTCGTAGGTCTTTCCAATATTTGGATGATGTAATATTTGGATTATTGTACTCGATTTATGTGCGACCACATTTAGAATATGGGATTCAAGCAGCGAGTCCTTGTTTTAAGTATGAAACAGTGATGCTGGAAAGAGTCCAACGACGAGGTACTTAGATAGAACAAGGTCTATCTGGCCTATCTTATGAAGACAGACTGAGACACCTTAACTTATTTCCGTTATCTTACCGTAGTGAATTGCTGGAATTCTCTACAGGAACACGAAATATCAGCACCTTCTGTTGATATATTCAAAACGAGATTGGACCTCCACAGTATTACAAACTGCAAGGATTAATATAGGTCGACAGACCTCCTATCCTTATTACTGAAGACTGATTGACAGAAAGGTCAGAGATATCTCCAAGGTTCAAGATTACGAAAAAATTATCCCAAAGCATGATCATTTTTCCAGATTTTTGAATAGGTTTAAGTTGGTATCCTCTATTTCAACTGTAATGTTCGATCATTTTTGGGACTCCAGGTGCATTTAGGAAGTCTGTATCTAGGAAACATGAAATTTATCAGAGAGTCAAACACTGTCGATGTTATGGCGGTTTTGAGTTTCGGCATACCTTCACTAGTGTCGATACATTTTCCATCGACAGTAAGTTGTTGAAGACACTCTCCACCTTCCCGATCGTCTTTATTTGTTTGTTCGTCCCAGGACTTCCTATTTTCTGGGTTGATGACAATATTTTCGCAGACCTGTGTAGGGAATGGTGATGTTGCCTAACAGATCCCCAGCATTCAAATTAATGTGCCACGTACCCAACTATACGAGACAAACGCGCTCGCTCATGATATAAGATATACAAATCCACAAATAACTACCAAACTGACTACAGCTGGTTTTGCAGCAAACACGAATATCCCAAAGATTATTCTGCTAATCCTAATGCTATCCTTGGACATGAAACGGTATCATCCTATTGGTCAGTATTCACTTAACGTGTCATTTTCCTACTGGTCATTATTGTACAATGTTACTTTCTATTTTATGGTACGATGTGGTCTGCTTGACTGGTATATAAACAAAGTATGTTTGAAATATAACGATTCATATATCCGAGGCTGAGACTTGCGTTCTGGACTTAATTGGCTGGGCTAGACAGGGAAGCGGGACCACTCAAAATCCTAGGTCGTTCTTACGTGTTTGCGCGTCTTTGGTCCGATCGATAATTCGCTACCCTCTAATCTGCCGTCAGATATATCAACCTTCTAATATAACTCGTACCCACCAAGAGAAATAAAAAGACAGGTTCGAGGAGATTGGAAGATATATTTGATGACTATCGACATATCGAGGATCGTCCTATCTAGTCTGGCTAGCGATTGCAGTGGATGTTGAGCACGGCGTCCCCCCACGTGATCTGGTGTGGATGCATGACCGAGCGCCTTCAGCTAGGTGAGTCCATTAAAACATGTGGTCAGCATCCAATGTCGAAAACTTACAGAGCTATTTATTTTGGGGATTTATTTACAGCAAAAGATCAATCCCCCCTAGTGGGGAAGTGATGACCCTAAGACGTGGCCAGCCAGAAGTTTAAACCCAACGAGTTTCGTCGTTGGTAAACACTCTTCCGATAGCTCGCTAGGTTTAGCAGCGTCTGGTCGTCTTTCTTTATTATAAGGGACCATGAAATACAATATAGTAAGAAAATAATGTACAATCAAAATTTCGGTTCCTCGTAAACCTCATCGTTCTTTTTATCGTTTTTTCCAGCCGTCCTGGAAAAGAAAAAAAGAAAATGTAACTGCATGTCGAAATGAACTCGTACGCGCTTTAAGACACAGAATGGGCGAAAAAAGGTTGATAACGTAAAAGCGATTTTTACAAAATGTTCTTTTGTTTTTAAAATCTCTTTAATATACATATCAGCCAAATCATAAATATATATGAATATAAGCATATTAAACTTTTTTATACATTATATATAATGAAACAAAGTGTTAACTAGTGTCTTACGTGCAATAGTCATTTAAATGTTCCGGAAATCTTACTCTTCTTCCAGAACGCGTTGTCTCAAGTTTATTTTCAGATACTGTCGGAGTATCATCGTGCGTGTTGGTCTTCGGATGAGGTATTATGTGTCGGAGTCATGTCGTTCGATTGTACGGAAGGAAAATCGACGCAGATAGGATTTCCTTCTAAATACGCTGCTTTTAAGCGATCGATGCTGATGCTATCGTTTGTTCCGTTCTTATCGACTATATAGTACTTAGATTCACGTTGAAGAACTTTGAAAGGTCCTTCGTATGCTGATTCGAATGGTCGTCGATGCGAGTCTCGACGAACGAAAACGTGTGTACTATATCGTAAGTCAGGTTGAACGAAAACATCAGTTGATTGAGGTCGAGTGGAAGCAGGTTTAACTGAACGCATTGCGTTTGTAAGCCTGTTCGTGTAGGAGGTTAGATCCATGTTCATCGAAGAGGACGAAGGATCCACGAATTCTCCTGGAAGTCGAAGTGTCGTTCCATAAACGAGTTGAGCCGCAGTGTATCCAATGTCAGCTTTCACTGCATTGCGGATACCTAGTAAGACGAGTGGAAGAGCGTCGGTCCACTGTGAAACGTTTGCAGCTGATAGCGAAGCTTTCAGTTGTCGGTGAAAACGTTCTACCAACCCGTTTGCTTGTGGGTGGTAGGCGGTCGTTCGGAAGCGAGTGATTCCTAAAAGTGTGGTCAGACGACGGAAAAGATCAGATTCAAACTGACGTCCGCGGTCTGTAGTGATGGTTGAAGGGCAACCGAAGTTTGCTACCCATCGTTCGACGAAGGTGCGGGCCACTGTTTCAGCAGTGATGTCCTTGATAGGTACTGCTTCTGGCCATCGAGTGAAACGGTCTACGCAGGTTAAGAGGTAAGAGTATCCATTTGAATCTGGTAAAGGTCCTACCAAATCCAGATGAACATGGTCGAAACGAGCATCGGGAGTTTTAAACGAGCCTAAGGGACATTTATTGTGTCTGATAACCTTAGATTTTTGGCAGCTTACACAGGAGCGTGCCCACTCCCTCACGTCTTTATTCATGCCAGGCCAGCAAAATCGTTCTGCTATAAGCTTGATGGTTGCACGAACACCTGGATGAGAAAGTTTGTGCAATGTATTGAAGACATTGCGTCGATAATGTTTCGGCACGATTGGGCGATCCCTACCTGTAGATGTGTCACAAAGTAAGGTTTCCTTACCTGTTCCCATCTGTTTGATGCGTAGTTTAAGTGTTGTGGACGATAACTCGTGCTGAAGATCAGTGTCTTCTTTTTGAAGCTCGGCGAGTTTAAGAAGGTCGATTCCTTGGAAACTGTTCAAGGAAGTTATTCGAGACAAGGCGTCTGCAACTACATTGTTTGCTCCAGAAATGTGTTGAATATCTGAAGTAAACTGCGAAATGTAGTCCAGTTGTCGAGACTCATGAGGTGAGTACTTGTCTGAAGAGGAGCTTAACGAGAAAGTGAGCGGTTTATGGTCAGTGAAAAGAGTGAATTCACGGCCTTCGATATAGTGTTGGAAATGCCGTACAGCACAATACATAGCTAGGAGTTCCCTACCGAATGTGCTGTACCTCGATTCGGTGTCTAGCAACCTTCTAGAGAAAAATGCCAAAGGTTGCCAAGAGTTGTTAACCCATTGTTGTAAGACTCCTCCGATTGCTGAGTCGGATGCGTCTACTGCGATGCTAATGGGTGCTTCGGTGTCCTGATGTGCAAGCATTGTTGCTTTAGCGATCAGTTCCTTAACTGTGGAGAATGCTTTTCGTGCGGTGTCGTCCAGATTAATGGATTTCGCATTTCCACGAAGTTGATCGGTGAGAGGCTTCATAAGTTATGCGCATTTCGATATGAAACTTCTATAGAAACTTATCAGGCTGTTAAACGTGCGTAATTGTTTGACCGTGGTCGGTTCTGGGTAATCCAGAATGGCCGCCACTTTGGTTCTAAGGAGTAGAATTCCTTGAACATCGGTAGTGTGTCCTAGAAAGTCTAATGAGTCGGTTCCGATTTGGCATTTCTGAATGTTTACAGTAATACCATGTTTTAGTAGTCAGTCGAAAACAAGACCCAGTTGCTGGAGATGCGATTCTGTGTCCGGACTTGCTATTAGATAGTCGTCAACATGCTCATTTACGAAGTTGAGACCTCGACAAACGTCGTCTATGAATCTTTGGAATGTTTGAGCAGCGTTCCTTAGACCGAAAGGCATTCGCAAAAATTCATAGAGTCCGAAGGGAGTTATGATAGCTGTTTTCGGTATATCGTCTGTAGCCATAGGGATTTGGTTATACGCTTTAACCAAGTCGATTTTCGAAAAGACAGTTGTACCTTTCGGTTCATGCGAGCTCATGTCAAATAATATTGGAGATTTAAAGCTGTAGCGGCTACTTTAATGTTTAAGGTCGAGTGCCGGGAAAACTAAAAGAGGTTAGGCATTACTAAATGTTGGAGATATTAAATCTCAGCGGATTCCATCACATCTTTAATTTTGATTCACAATTATTAGGCTTTAACACTGCAACTTTATCCAGTGCAGTTAATTATGGTTCCCCCTGTTTATTCAGTCTCGACTATTTCCGATCTCCCCATTTTGGGGAAAATTTTTTCCGGTTTGGGTAAATTTTGGAGAAATCGCTGTAAGAAGCTACGAAAATGTCACAGACCCCACAAGATTTTCTCAGGTCTGGGGAAAATCTTCAAAAATTTTGAGGAATTTAGTGTTTTCCGCAATATTTCCACAGGAATCTTGTAACACTTTGGGGTTTTCCCTCGAAATTTCTCCAAGATAGTAGAATTGAGTTGTGCATTCCTGTCATTAAAAGCCGTGATTTCGGTGCCTGTGGACACCCATTAGGTGGAAATAACTTATATTGTGAAACCGAGAAAATAGCTTTTTAATCGAAGTTTTGCCCAAGCAACTTATAAGGTGGAAATAAAGGCTAACAAGGAGTAATTTAAGTGGACATTCCATCAAAAGTAAAGAGAAATAGCAGGAAAACGTCTAAACTCCCTCTTGTCCTCCTGTCACGGGAAAATAGTCCAGAATTTTCCTTTTTTTATAGCTCTATTTGAAACGTCTATGGATTGTTTAATTTTGCTTCGATCCATACCGACTTGCCTGTTTTCCCCTAAATACTCGCCTACTTTTTAACTGCACACTTGATTATATGCTTCGTTGGCCACCTTTTGCCTAACCTCAAATGTTTTATGTTCACCTTTATTTCCATAATAAACCATGCGATGACTGCAATCCACTACGTTAAAAAGTGACACATGGTTGAAGACACTTACTGACAAGAAAAAACACTATACTGTAGAGGGATATTAGTGACAGACACTCGAGCAACGATTGTTATGTATTTTCATCGTAAGTTCCAAGTGCTAATGTCCTTTACGAGGATTTGCTGAATAAACTACAGGTAATAGGTTATTAGTGAAGAATGTGTCGCTATTGATAAGTGCACGTGGAACCAAGCAGGCTTACGCAACATAAACTTCATTTGTTCATGGGTTTCAAATGCAAGTCGTGAATTCTGCACACGGTAAGAAAAAGCCTTATTAAAAAATAAGTTAGAAATAAAAAAAGCATTTCAATGATAACGTCTTTTTTAAACTGTGGCGTTACCATTCCTAACCGAAAATAATCTCCATGTAAATTCTGAAGTTTAATAAACACTAAAATTTACAATGATGTCAAACTGCCATAATTTGTTAAACAACGGTTAACCCGAAGTATGACTTACGGTTATGTTCTCTAATACTGAACGCTCCACCTATAGAACAGAAATGAGTAGTCATAACTTAAAATTAGTACACACATGTTTTTATTTCCTTCGATAACACTCATATTTTGTCCCTCATGTCGTGAAAGTACCATTGCGTTGCAATGTCATGCAGTTTACCAAGTTGTTGTTCGTCGACGGATAAAGACAAAAAGCGATATGTTAGTGTGCATAATGGTTTAAAAAATGTTCGGCCACATCCATGTCAGTGGAATTGCACAGAAACATTTCTTTCCGTTTCAATGCACCTCTACGAAATATTAATGAGATTACTGTACTGACCTCTTTGGCTTCTCTTCGTTTAGTGACAATGTTTTTGTCCGTAAAACTGCTGAGACAGTAACCAGCAAAGTTGTTGGACAAAACCAATACGTCCTTCGCAGTCTGGAAACTATCTATAGGAAGTGATCGTTTCTATTTTTGTAAGTTACCACAGTAGTTGATGACCTTGCACTTCAGGACTGGCCAATGGTCATCTGTTCGGGCACTCCTGCAGGTGCATATCTACAGACAAAGTTGATTACACACAATCCACTTTTTAGCTGCAGTTAGAATCTGCTTTCAGCTTGGTGCGTCTATATGTACGAACTGCTTATTAGTCGGCTAGACAGTATATAAAAGGTAATGAAATAGTTTAAAGTAATACTATCAACAGGAACTTGAAAAATATATTCACATGAACCTATGTACCAATGGGACAGTTACCACATTATTAACATAGGTAATGGTGATACATTTACAGTCGATATCATTAATGGAAACTTATGTGCTCATGACTAACTATGGAGCACATAGATATTCCTATATTATTAGAAGGGAATGGTTCCTCGAAATAATCACATGCGTCATTGAATAGTCTAAATCTAATCAGTTCATTTTTCCTTATATCAGTGACTAGCACAGGTTTCCCGTGTACTATTATTACATTATGCGGCTTAAATGAAGTTATTTTAGTTTTCTTACAGATAACTGTTTGGTTTCCGGGGTCAGACTTAACGACTGTTTGTAAATTAGTGGCGGATATACTAGCTTGCAGCCTACCACAGAAAGATATCTCGGCATACCTCTGAGCAGTTTGCTTTGCTACAGCATAACTGCTATGCACTGACTTCCTAATCTTCCTCATATAGGACTCAAATGGGAAGGAGGAAAAAGGGTTTAAATCTACATTTGCATCAAGGAGGTGCTTCAAGAAATGGATGTTATAAACTAAGTTTCTAGGTCCACAATACCATTCATATTCCTTAAGAAAATCAAGTAAATCATTTCTGACCGAATCTGTTTGCGCTGCTATGTAATCTGGAATGCGCTAACAAATACTTCGCCAATACTGAACGCTTGAAATTCAGGTACAATGGTTGTGGTAAACAATGTTTAAGAATTACGGGGCCTAAACACAGAAGAGACAATCGACACTGTCGCTTTCCATACTGAGACGAACTCTAATGTCCGACATTTACGCTGAAAGTCTGCAGAACTATATGCCACACAACTTGATATTAACTTATTTATATTCACAGTTACAGACTTGTTCATGTTTCTAAGTCCTTTGTGAGAGAAATCTATCCATAGATTGACTAGTTTCTCAGTTACACCTAATTATACCATGTGCATTGGATCTAAAGGGAATGTTAAAATCATATTAATGGCACGTGTTTCGAAATTAGAATGCCCTTGATCGTAAATTGATTCAAGCCTCTGACAAAAGCTATCATCAGTTCTCAACGTACGTTCACTATTTGGAAACATCATCCTTCCGTCAAGGCACCGACCAACTACAACACACCTATCACAACTTGCTTTCTCATTGTGATTAACTGTACGTAGCATCCTAACGAGCAGGTGTGTCACAGATTACAGCGATCAGTTTAACAGCTATGTATTTATTGAACTTAAAACTACACAACCTACGTCGCTCATTTCTTTCACTTCAGAATGCTGTCCGCAGATACTTCGTTAAATTCAGCCGGCCTAGTATTCCTTCCATAGATACCTATCATGAAGACGTCACTAAACTTAGGGGCAACGATGCGAGGACAAATAGCTGTTAGACCACTAGAGATGCTGGTCGCATTATAAATGCTTTCTGAGATCTTGTACCGGATTTACCAAGAAGCACTAGAAGTGTCTTACGAATGTGCACAAGTCAGTAATTGTGGCTTATTTTAGGACGCATCGTTGCTCCTCTCAAATTCATTGTAGTTGGTTTGGTTGCCCAGTTCTAAATTCAGTCGGCAACAAATTATCTCATGTATTACGCCTGCGTTCTCTCAGTGTGGTGAAAAAGTCACTACAGTGTCATTTTGAAGTTATTGACATTCATTTTGATGACTAGTTATTTAAAGCTAATTCAGAAAACAGTACTCTTCAGTACTAGTGTTTTTCAACTTTGCAATCGACTCCATGTTGTTTTCATCCTAGAAATGCATAATATGATGAGTATTCGCGATTATTTGCACTTAATTATGTGTCTGAAGGTTTCTGTAAAGTTGTTTCTTTACCGGGTTTGTTAGATTTTGATCGTTTTCTTGTCACTATTCAAGTATTTTGTCTATGTCGAATAAGAAAACTTTATTTTACAGCTCGAAGTTCTCTATTCCAAATGTCCATGAACTTCGGATAGTACATTTGACAATTAGTGATGGCGGACAAATGTTGATCCTATAGAAAGCAATAATCTGAGCATGGATAGTTCGACTTTATACCAAAAGTTGTCAAGATATCTACCTTATTCTAAATGCAGAGTAAGTACATGAGTGATCTTTTAGAAATATATCGTCGCAGAATGAAGGTTGCAAATGTAGTACATGGAAGCTCTCAGACAATGCGATAGATGAAAAACTTGTTGAAGCTATATGTGAAAATTGCTGTCATGTTCATTATAACTTGTCTGATCCAAACGAGAGCACGTGGCTTAATAGTGCAATGCAAATGGTCGACGATGTGGAACGAATGTATATTTTATGTACCAAGGAAGAAGATTATGAAACAAGAAATATATATTTCTGTATCTTAAAGGTAAGACATCTTACAATCATCATTCCAATCTCATTTCTAGCGCCTTCGCAAGGCGTTAATGAATAAAGTACAACCCGTTTTTGATGACAAACCTCCTTTCGAGCGACCTGATATCAATACAGTAAGTATATAAAATGTGAATTCCACTTGATTCTCCAACTTTTAAAAGGCTGTACGAAACGCGTTATTATTCTGTGCTGTCACTGATCCTCAAAATCCAGAAATAACAATTGAACTGTGTAAATTATTCCTAGCATATGTGAATTCATATAAGATCACATATCCAAGTCAAAGGATTCAGAAGTATGAAAATAAAACAGGATACAAATTAATATATATGAGGTATTTTGTATTGTATATATATACTTATTTGACTCCTTTCAGGTGGATATGTCACTGTTATGTGCCAAAGTTCTGTAATGCCTTACCATTTACTGAGGCTACATGTGCATTTGGAAAGAATTTCTTGTTAGCCGTTTTGCCTGAAATTAAAAAAAGACTAATCGAATTTTTCAAACAAGATTCTATAATCCCGTCCATGCTAGATGCAAAGATACATTTAATACAACCTTTAACACGGTAACTAGCGATCATTTGTCGTTCTTAAATTTTTAGTGCTATCCTACTCATTGGTACTTCATTCCCGTTCTAATTATTTTCTATTCAGACTGTGTAATTTGCTGGAAGATAATGTTGAGGACAAAACAACTTCCGTCTGGGATCCGTATTTCCAACCACCATTGCGTCCCGACAATGTAATTACACCAAGCGGATTATTACAGTCGATTTCTATTGACCACGTGGTCGATTTCTCTACACATCAACGTAATATAATCATCAGTAGTTCAAGTGAACTGAAAAGTGATTCAATTGTTACACCAGCTCTCACTGATCTAAAAGCAGAGAAACTGTTTAGTAATCCAGATTTGGTGAATGGTGATAAGGATATGGTAGTTAATACACCTATTAAGTCTGAACCTGAAGAGTCACTTACAAAACCTGCCAAAGTAACTGATCATACAACGCACCGAAGAACAAGTAAGTGTTATTAAATTTTCACTGAAGACAGTCACTTTTTTATTTGAATCTTTACGCCTGATCTGACTTTAAGCCCAATTTCTAGTCTGTGATTTTCATTTATCTTATTTCCTGTTTGGAGATTGTGTAGTTTTAGTGGGTTTAAATATCTTTATTCTGAATATTCCTATTGTTGGTATTGCCGCATCTTTAGCAAATAAAGACCTAAAGCACATAATTTATCCGTTAAACCCTTGGATTCACTTATAAACCAAAGTTGTGCGATGCCAAGCAGTATTTCCGGATACAGTTGAAAAGAATGGTCTCTTGATATGTTTTTACTTGTAAGCATACTATGGTTTGTGCTACTTATACTGACAGATATTAGTAGTATTTAGTAACAGTCATAAGTGGAAATGCCTGGAAGCAGAAAGTTGAAATGAAGAGAACAGGACGATAATCGGAGAGCAATCAAAATAACAACGGGAGTAGAGAAATAACGGAACATGTAAAGGACAACGCAGAGATGTGTAAATGATGTATTTAATGTATGATTTTCACATTTTACTAAGCCACTGTGTGATTTTTCATTAAACAATAAATTGGTTTTCCCCGCCTGAGTTCTCGTTCATTACAATACTTCTTTTTGGTCAGTACCAAACAAAACACTTCAACATTTATGTTTCTATAAAGGCTTCCTAAATGACTAAAAGTTATAATTCACTTGCCATAAATCAAACAAACTGCCATTCGAAGTCTCTGTGTCAACCGTTGATCATGTCTATTGAAGTCATGGAGCTATCATTGCTGAAGTTAAGCGTAGTGTGACACCCTGATGTCTTAGGCCGGTTATTATACGAGTAGAATGGACAAAAGTCATAGTTAACTTGCGCACCATGGCCAGTCGTAATCGTTGATGAGACCTCAAAGTTTGCTATCCAGTGCATCAGTTTTTTTACCACTGTTGCTACTGTCATGTTCTTCAGTGAATAGCTACGGGTCATCTAGTAAATCTGTCGATATATGTTAGCAAGTGTGTATACCCTCTCAAAAGTGGTAGCGGTCCCACAACCTGAATATGAATATGGTCAAACCTTGCTTTTGGTGAGGGAAAGACTCCTGTAGACAACATGGTGTACTTGTGGATCTTCAGTTTCTGGCACTATATATATTCTCCCTCTCATTTTCGTGAGTCTCTATTTGTATTTGACCATATAAATTAATCTGCAATAAGCTTTACTGTTTCTCTAATACCTGGGTAAGATAAGTTTAGTTTTTCAAAATACTTCGTTTCATGCTGTAGGGTACAAGGGGGCGAGTTTTACTTGTCGAAATATCATAAGTCAATGCTTTATTTTCATTCGCAGGAAAGTTTCGAAATATTAACGTTGTTTTCTTAGGTTCCAAAAGTCTATTTAACTCATTATTGAGCTTTGAGGTTTTATCGTTTCTTGATAACTTGTGTCAGGGATTGTGAAAACGTTAATATCTGGACTTGATAACCCATCTACACAGTCGTCTTCCTTCCCTTTTACATATTATATGTCGGTAGTAAACTGCAATGAAATCGAGATGTTTTAATTTTCTTGGAGAATAATTGGTATGACCGTTTACTACTGCTTATAATCGGTACAAACCATGAACTATGTGTTTTCTATTATGTATCAAAAATGTTTGATAGATAGATTACCAACAATTCCCGACTAAACATACTATAGGGTGTTTATCTTGGATTGAGTCTTGTAGTTTATCGGTAATATAGGCTTGTGCAAATGACAGTCCATGATGTACTTGGTCAATATACCTTTCAGAATAGTAAATATATTTTTCTGTTGTAAACCGATAAGTAGAAAAATTATATTTCTGACGTTTCGTGACTTGACATAAGCCTCTTCTTCAGAGTAAATAAATAACCGAAATAAATCAACACAAGTTTAAATAGTCAGAAATACAATTTTTATACTCATTGGGTTATAACAAAAAATACATTTATTATTAACCTTCTACCAATGCTCAATTTATTTGAAACAATCAAGTCCATCCTTGGCATTGATATCTATAAACCACTTAGAAGTTTGCTGCCTTAGATAATCCGAACAGCATTCTTATAAGTTTGAATAAACCAAACAGTAATGTAATTGCTATTTTTGGAACTTCTTTTGGCGCTACAGGGATGTAGTGATATCTTCGGACTAAGTCAGTTTTGGTGGAAATAATATTGCCAACCATGTTTTTGTTGCAATTATGAATGTGCGGTATAGCGTATCTATCCACGCGGGATGATTGAAGGTTGTACCATGCCCCACCCGTTCACCTTGTCAGTTTCTTCTTTTGCTATAACACAACGTTTAAGGTCTAGGGGTCTTGGACGTTAAAAAAAGGCGTCCTTTAATGTCACTATGGCGTACCACACTATCTCAAACCCTCTCGTTTAAAAGTCTGCTGAAATAAATTAGGAAACTGACAGCAAATTAGTATACTCGTCAGCTGCACGCTGTAGTTTAACTGGTAAATGCATAGACGTCTCAGTAGGCACCCTCCTTTATTTCGACCTTAGATCGGCACGTACAAGCTTCTGATTTTCAACGTTTACGAGTATTTTGTCGGATGACAGAAAAGTAACGCCCATTATAATAGTTAATTATGTAGATGAAGTATGGATTCTACTCAGATCGTAAGTGACATATTGAAAAAAGCATAACACCTGTTACCCATAGTGTGGAGCACAGGCCACTGACCAAGACTGTCCAACCAACCATGTCCCGCGATATCCTTTCCAGTTTTCTCCAAGTGCTATTCATTCTTTTGATGTCTGCCTCCATTTCCGATACACTATGTTATTTGGTCTGCCTCTTCTGCTTTTGTCTTCCGGAACCCAAGTTACGGATTCCTAATGATACACTTTGATAATCTCCGCAATGTTTGTACAACCCACCCCCAGCATCTTTTTTTAATTTTCAGTTTAACTGAAAGTCGGTTGGTTCTTAGCCATCTCCGGTTGTTGCTTATGGTATCTAGCCCAAGGACATTGAGTATCTCGCGTAGATAATTGTTTATAAATACTTGTACATTTAAGATGACGGTCGTAGTTCTCCACGTATCCACTCCTTACAGTAGAACCGTCTTTACGTTCGTATTGACTTGTGGCTCTGGTTTACAATATTTCACTGCCAGTTGCTTTGTTGTATCATATAGTAGTTGTTTCATATTTCCTTGTGTTGCAGCCTTTTCCGCTGTCATTGCTAAGTGTTCCACGTATTTCTGCTTGTTGGCTGTAACGCTCCTCTTCACTCTCTTGTCTGGTTCTGTGTATTCAGTCTGTGCTCTGACTATCTCTGTTGTTGTTCATTTGTTGCTAATTGCTGTCTTCTTGTTCTTCCTTTCTTGAATCTTGTCCAAGGTATCAATAAGGATCTGTTTCTTATGATGATGCTTGTTGCGGCCTAGAACCTATTTGAATTGTGGCGTTAGTGCATCTTTGATCCGTTTCCAGTTGTTCTCCATCGTAGTCTCCTCTTGTTTGAGTAGATGCTGTAGTACTTGTAACCTGTTGTTGAGTTTGTCAGTATGTCGAAGGAAGGCTGTATTGAACCTTTGTAATGCTGTTTCTCCAGTTGTCCAGTAGTTCTTTAGCTTGAGTTTCATCTTGGCAACCACCAGGTAGATGGTGATCTGAAGGTGTGCAGCTCGTGTCTTTGCTCTCAATTCTCCCATTGATCTTCTGAACTCTTTATTGACGTAAATATGATCGATCCTCCGGTAAGACCCATGTAGGTTTGTGTATACGTTTGTGGAGGAATACAGTACCATGTACAACCATTCAATTGAATGCAGATAAGTTTGCAAAGATCTCATCATTTTAACCCCTTGCTCTCGGTCAGTCCATGTCGTTCCATAATATCTTCATAGTGAGTGTAGTCCGATCCGACTTTGCATCTAAGTATCCAATCAGGATGGTTAGGTTCTTTCGCAATCACTTCTCTACGGTCGACTGAAACCTCACGAAGCTGATGTTTATCGCCTTCATTGCTATCATTGGTGAGTGCACATTACTGGATAATATTGATTGTGTTCACCTCGTTCTATGTTTTGAAGAATGCTTTGATGATTCTGGATCATGCGATACCCATTGTATGAGTGGTTTTCCTGTTTCTTTGTAGAGCATCAGTGCAACTCCTTGTGTGTGCAAAGCATTTTCTTCTTCATGAACAAAGCACACTGCATTACTGAACTTATTTGGATACATGCTTGAATTTCTGTACTTTTTTGTGTACCTAGTCCGATTATAAACAAGTATTTGCTCTTTTCATATACAGTCGCTTTTGGTGGAATTCAACGTTACTTGTTGACATGGATGGAAACTCTCATTTTGTCATGGATTTAAAAAAACTATTGTGAAACATAGATATATTTCATTCTGTAACTGTTGATGAAAACGTTATTATGTGAGCTGCTGAAAGTTTTTTTTCTGTACTGCATCCAGGCTAATTGTTATTTCTTTTCTATTTTTAATCATAAAATAAACATTTAGGCGTACGTCTTCGAAGTCAATTATCGATTAATACACAATCCTCTGTGAGTGATTCAGAAAAGTCGAACTGTAAATCAGAAGACAAAACTGTGGTCACCGATAGCAATACTAAACAGTCATTGAATGATAAGTTAAATATTTCAGATGTTAGTAGTACAGAATTAGAACAAGTTCTACAAGAAATGAAAAACAGTGAAAGCCCTTGTAAAGGATTTTATCCTTTTCAAACGGTAAACTTCAAACTTTATTCTTATATTGTTCTTTTTAAAATTTGTTCTAGGTATTCATATTCTTTTTTACTCCTTCTTTGCATCTATACACAAATACTACTTTAATGTTTTATTTGTAGGTGAACTCTACAAAGTTAACACTAATGATTAAACTCAAAGCAAACATGAGTGATCAAATCTTTCATATACTGTGTTCATTTTTTGATTTCCTGTTACAGCCATACTGGATAATGTCGTGCCCAATAAACTATGATTATATCTGTGTTCTTAGTGCATATATATGTAATGGAGTCATGTACGTACGTACGCAGTTTTAAGTTGTTGACTGACTGACTGGAGTCATGCTTTCAAACATATTCCATTCACTATATAACTAGTATCATTAATCATCATCCAAAAATATTACTCATTTATATCTTAAGAGAAGTCAGCACTAAAATTCATATATTGTTGGACAATGTTATTATTTTACAAATTAACTGATATTTACACACCTATTTCGTTCATGATTGTGTAAAAGTACACATGTACTAATTTTCTTAAAATCAATCACTCAGATACTCAGTGAAAAATCATAACTTCAAAATCGTGTTGAATATCCACTTTCATGAATTCAGCATACAGAACTGTTTTATTTGCTTGTGGTGTGTATTGTAAATAATAACAACCTCTTGTAGAAATAAATTACTTATCTGTTTTGTTATAGTGGTGAAATGCTTAATTGGTTTATTTATTCAATTGTGGATTGTCTCTTTCTTTCTTGATAACTTGTTAGCTTCATTCGTTAAACGCAACAAGAGATGCCGCTGCACGTCAAGAAGAATCAGCTGGGAATATTGAATTTCATATAGTTAATAATAGTTTAAATCCTAATCAACCTCCACAAACATATATTTGGCTTTTGGAGTTATTAAATGTATTTGCTTTGCAATTACCTCGTATGCCAAAGGAATACATTGCACGACTTATTTTTGACCCGTAAGTTTGTATACGTAATATTCACAATTGTTGTTTTTTACTTTTTTTGATGGGTTGTTTTCCCGACTCAATTATTTCGAAAGATATACTCTTTTTTGTCAACTAAACTATTATTCATAAATTCCAATATTGAATAATTTAACTGAAATGTATTTTAATTTTATGTACTTCTTAAAATAATTTTCTAGATGTGTCTCAGTGGTTTGAGGATCCTTCTTTCAACTATTGGATCACAATACAGCGTCATTGTTTAGAGTTAAAACAGTCTATTAGTAGTACTATTTCTCATACAGCAAGTCTTTTGAGTCGGAGTTTGGTGTAGTTAAATGTTATCTTACATTTGCGATTATTCCTTCCAACTAACAAAAGTGTAGTCTTTCAATGTGACAAGACTGGAATTTGTAATTAGAAGTCGTGAAGGTTCTGTTATAATCATATGTTTAATTATTATACTCTAAACAATTCGCTCAATTAATCTCTTACGACGGTATAAAAAGGTATTTAAGCAGGAATGTTATTGTTTTGCTTGCATGAATTATCATGTAAAGCCTGTCAATCAGTATGTGATTCAGTCAGTCAATCAGTAACAACGTAGAACTTAGTACGTACATACATCAGCTCAAGTTGCCACACCACATTAGCACTGAGATGCAGTTGTCGATTCAAATCTCGTAGTGGTAGAGGTAGTAAGAGTATAAGCAGTAATCGGGAAGATTAGTGTTTGGAGATGTTATTCAAGGAGTATAATCCAGTGAAATAAATTTGGAAAGAGGAAAAAAGAGACAAAGAGGATTCAGGAGATTAGAATTTGGGAGAACACAGAGTGGATGCACCTGCACCATTACGAACGATTTTGAGCCATGTCATTCAGAGTCCCTAACCATCGGTTGCTATCATCTCGCGGTCCCCAACCAGGTAGTCTACACCTACCAACATGACTCAGTCCACTTGTCAGTGACTTCATGGATTTGTGCCATGTTTTGGTCTGGCCGCCCCTAGCTTTCTTCCAACCTACTGCTATACCACTGAACATCGCACGTCGAGGCAGTCGGTGTTTGGGCATACGTAACACGTGTCCCAGCCATCTCAACTGATCAAGTTTCACTACTTCATCAATTGATTTGCCATCCTTGCCTAGTACCCGTTTCCTAACAACTGCGTTACTTACTCGATGGTCCCAGGATATACGAGCAATGTTTCGAAGACACCTATGATCAAGCATGTGATTAATTATCAACCAAGTCATTAGTATATATATTACCATATCGTGACTTTTCACTTCGATGTATTTATTTATTTATTTATTTATTTGAACACATATATATTAGTACAGGAGTGCGCCAAATATATATGCGCCACACAAAACAATGAGAATTTAAGAAGAAGAAAAAGAAAAAAGTGGGGAACGTAAAAAAATATAAAAAAACAAGAACGAAGAGATTGGTGTAAGGTAGTGTAATACTAATAGTAATAGTAGGGGAACAGAAGGGTACAATCAGAAGAAATCTTTCAGTTAAGGAAGATACAACCACGTTTTATGAAGAAAGTAAAAGAAGGTTACAGCATGATTGCCACTGGCTTCTATTCTGAGCCATATCTGATAATGTCTCTAGCCACTGTGTTGTACCATCTCTCGGACCCCAACCAGGGAGTCGTGAAGGACCAACAGAAGCCAGTCCTTTGCAGCTTTCTTTCATGCCACGACACCGTGTCTTATACTGACCACCTCTCCGCTTTTTCCAACCAGTTCTAGAGTCGGCACATAATGCACGACGTGGAATTCTCTGGGACGACATTCGTAGAACATGTCCAAGCCACCGAAGTCGGTGTTTCAAGATGGTGACACCAATTGCATTATCGTCTCTGTGCCCGAACTCACGATGCCGAATCTCTGCATTACTAACATGGTGTCGCCACCAGAAGAAACCCAGTGTTTATAAGCGGGACGTTTCGCGAACCCACAACTGACTGTACCCGCCATTTTCATGGCGTCATGCAATTGCAACCAATGCTTATCTATACTTTTCGGTGGAATAGTAGCTAGCCTAGAAGCTAGCTCGGTTTGATACTTACTTGCAACAGAAGTTGCAACCAACTTGCTAACATCAATCCGTTGGTGGCGGTCACTTCGTTGGCCACTGAAAAGTAAGGCAAGATTGGCGCAGACCAAGGCATGATCAGAGTCCAGATAGGTACTCCAAAAGGAGCGGCAGTCTTTTACACAACCACGCCAACGGTAGCTGATCGTGATGTGATCAATCTGAGTCCAGGCTTGAGATGCAGAGAGAGGACGTTAGGTAGCACATCGGCAATGACTGTGCCGAAAGTTAGTGCTAGCCAAAAACCGGTTGTGGTCTGTGCACAGTTGCAGAAGACGGTCCCCATTATCTGTCCTGGGACCAGCAAGTCCCCATCGGCCACCTAAACGATCCTCTTCTGTGCCTAGACGCCTGACCTGAGCATTCAAGTCTCAGGCTAGTACTACAATATCTGTCGAACACACTTTCTGGAGAAGAACATATAACTGGTGGTAAAACTCATCCTTGATTGCATCTGGGCCGCAATCTGTCGGGACATAGGCGGAGATGACGAAAAGACATCGTTTCTCATGCCGATTTCTTCTCACTTTGATGGAACTCTCTAATCTAACAACACATAAGCGACTGTTAATGGGGATCCAGTCGATTAGTGCTGCCTCAGCTCTAGCGCTTAGTGCGACACCAACGCCAGCATGACCAGACGAAGATTGAACAGGGTCCCCGGATAAACGCACGTAAAACAAGCTTTTCGAAGCGACAGATGGAGATCGAATTTGTAGTACTTCACCAGAGTCTTGAATACGGGTCTCGGATAGACAACAAACATCAATATTAAGACTTTCCAAAGACATAGCCAGCCCTATCTGTTGTCCGACCTGCATAAATGTGCGAACGTTGAAGGCAGCCAGTTTGAATGGTGCACGTGGTTTCAGAAGGACTGCTTCAGTATTTGTATTTGGTGGTAACATACAATTTTCAACCAGACAGTGACTCGAGAACGTTTAGATACAGTCGAATTTCCACCATAGACGAGCTGCTGTATAAGCCGAAAAAAAATAAGTATAGACAGAGTAGGAATAAAAGAGGGTGAATAATGACGTAGTAAATAATAATAATAATAATAATAATAATAATAATAATAATAATAATAATAATAATAATAATAATAATAATAATAGTAATAATAATATTAACAATAATAATAGCAATAATAATAATTGAATCATTTGAATGTTCGTCGAAGCAAGAGAATTAGTTTCCATGATCATAGACAGTTCAGTTCATTAATTGCGTGTGGGCTGTGATACTGCCCGAGTGCCCAGACCGAAGCAGGTGGTTATCCTAGGGGGCCACACCCCGAGCCTTTGACCTAAAGGTCTAACCCACAAGTCAGTGGAGCATCGTAAGGAGATGCAGTCCCATGGTAGCCGGTGACCAACGATTGGTTCATACGCCATTTGTTCCCGCAGGATACTGGTGCCCATGCGCACCATTGATTTGGAATCCGGTTAAAGTGCCGGACACTCGCTTTTCGTCCTCTCATTTTCGTAAACAACACCCCCGCTACGAGAAGACAGTGAGTAGGACTTCCCTGGCAGAGGCTGTGTACGCGCGGCGGTGTGAGTATTTCGAGAGGGAGGGCGAACCCACCCCGCTCTCGGCCATACCAGGGCATTTGGGGCCTTCGATGTTTAATATGTTCGGTACATACAATTCGTTATTACTGGTGACTTTCATTTATATTTAGTCTTTTGTTTCATTTATTTCACATGTATATACAGAAAACACAAAAATCTCATTTTGTTAAAAGTTTCGGATTCATGTGAAAAACATGCTATCGGCGGGATCTGCTTTCGTATGTTTCCATCTCAGGGATTTACGGAAATAGTGTTTTGTGCAGTAATTTTTAATGAACAAGTAAAAGTAAGTCATATATATATAAACTTAAATTCAGTACATTATTTACTTATCAGCTTCTAAGTAGTATTGTTTCTAAACTATAGAATGCAAAAATTTGCTTATTTATGCTTCGTCGTGATCAGTAACATAAACAAGTTTCATAACGATAATAAAAATAGCGATAACTAATACAAAGAAGTAATTAGTTCAAAGTAGAATGGCAAATGATTTTGTGGGAGATTTAGACATTTCCGCAAAATCTCATTGGTAACTTCGCATTGATCATTTATGTTAAAACTGTAGAATTTCCAAATGAGTAGTAGCAATATTAATTCAGTATAGAATGTGGTCTATATGCCCAATGGCCTAGCATAATCTGCTGTACTGGCCTGAATAGGATTTAATTCATATGAATTGATAATAGCCAAACTGAGACTTAAAATGAATCACGAATCCTATGACAGTTGCTGTTATCTGTGTAATAAATTATTCCCTACTTAACTGTCATCTTCTAGGTTATAAATCAGTCAATAGTTGTAGACACTTAATTCAATACCCAGAACCGATCATATATATTACAGGTAATATTTAATTCGTATCTTGTTTTAGATCTCCAATACATCATTATCATTCATCTACTTATTTCTTTCCTTAATTTCTATTTATAATGTTCATTATTTCCTTCCGTTTTTACTGACTCTGTTCCTATTCTACCAATAAGTAGTGCGTATTTCATGTCTTCGAGTTTCACTAAATCGCTGCTATAAGGCCTATTCTCGAACTAGTGAAACTTGTATCTGAATTTTTGTGATTTGAAAGAGTGTTATTAAGAATTTAGTTTTAAAGAGACTGTCGATATACAATGAATATTTCATGCAAATACATTTTACTGAGTGTAAATTTTTTTGCATGCTCATTGATTATCTATTGTTAAAGTTAAATACAAAGAATGAATTTGATTAGCAAAACTCAGCGTAATATATAATAGGGAGGTTATAGATAGCTTGCTTTGTTACAACACTGACTAACCTACAGCCTTTATACAATATCCATCTTATTAGATCATATAAATCATGAAATTTGGTAATGTGTTGGCAATTGGTACCAGTGACGTTAATTGTCATATGTTGGTGACATAAAAATAGTAATCAACTAAAACACTTGATTAATATCGAATTACTGATTAAAGAATTTAAACACATCAATTGAATTAATTTATCAAAAATCAATCTCTGTGACTCGCGGCAATAAATCATATAATAATTGAAAGATGTGTATTCTTTGTCAGAAATATTTTACCTATAAAATCTTAGATTGTATAATAAGTAACATGGACCTCTATATCTGAAATTCAACTGCTCAATATTATTTATTATTGATAGAAATCTAGTTATTTAGTGTCATAATTTTCATATTTCAATAAATAATACTAATATTGTATTTACTTATATTTATGACAAGATTTTCTCTCTTCTTTTTCAAGGGTTATGGAACACAAATGATGAATCATTTAAAAGATTATCATTTACAGCATAAAATATTTCATTTTCTTACATATGCTGATTCATTTGCCACTGGTTATTTTAGAAAGCAAGGATTTTCACGTGAAATACGCTTAGCTCGACAAGCTTATTTAGGTTATATTAAAGAGTATGAAGGTGCCACATTAATGGGTTGTGAATTATATCCAAATATTATTTATACTAGATTTTCTGAATTGATTGCAAAACAAAAACAGGTATTTATTGTTGTTGTTGTTGTTACTGTTTGATTCATTTTCTTCTTGAGTCTATATAATTGTAACTTTTTTTCCAAATTGAATGAAAGTGACATATTCCTAGTAAATTTTGAAATAGTGTAAATCAAATTTCATTTGCCATTATTCAAAAGAAACTACTGAATGGTTAACTCTAGACTTTCGAAAGTCATATAGCTGTATTCATTACCTAGGGTACACCTTATAAAAGATAACAATAAGACATTTACTTAATATTTCATCATTATCTGTAAAAATACACTTAGAATTCAGATAATAATTTTGGCTCATTATTGGATACTTGAATATATGTATATAATATTGTTGAATTGTACTGGTCTGTTTGAAAAAAAAGCAAACCATTAATCATATACCATTAGTTTACCACCAACTGCATTTCGGTTTATGTGCTGTGGTGATTCCCACAGAATTTCTCTTCCTCTCACCAATCATCATCCATATTGAAACATTTCGACAATTACCAGATTCGAAGCACTCACTCGCATTGCAAACATGCTTGCTTGTGTATAATTTACTGGATACATAAATCAATTTAGATTTACGCTTTCACGTATTAACTAACACAGAGTATTGAATATGCATGGTTAGTGCATGAGTTATTGTAGTTATGTTAATGAAAAAGTTTATAATTATTCTGTTTGTAAGGGGTTGTTTATTTTTCACCTATCATTTCTACGTGTTTATTTATTTCAATACTTTTAAGGTTCTGTGTTCAGTTTAGGAAAGTGTTCTATTTTGTGATATTCGGTGGTACTTCCGAATTACAAATGGTTGTGATATTCTAATTTTAAGAATAGCAGTTTTTTTTGTATGATGTTATTGTATGAGTATAATATGATTGTATTTTTGGAAGACAATTTTCTGAGACACTAACGAATTGATATGATTGTAACACTGATTTAGTCGTTTCCTTTCATGATTCCTTCTTAATAATTATTTGATAAAGAGTATCATGGGAAAAAAACTTACGTTTCGTGATTTTATCATGAATTCCTACCGTATCTTCAAACATTTTGTTTCGTGAATATTTTTTTGTGAGCTTTAAATCTGTAAAACATCATTCGTGATACGAGTTTGATAATTTCACTTGAATGATAATATCTTGTAAATTGTTTAATATTTATTTGATAGGTTATTACCCGGTTGATAGAAAAACGTCGTGAGTCTGTTAATCAAACCTACCCAGGAATACCTGCCAAACTATTTCGTAATGGACCTTTAAGACCAGATCAAATCCCCGGTCTAACTGAGATAGATCTAACTTCAAACAAATTTTCTGATTTATTTCATAAAATTCCAGAATTATCCGAAACCAATCAAACTTCCATAAATAATCATGTTTCAGTAAAGCGAAAATCGTCAGAAACGTTTGGTAAATGTGTTGAGAAATTACACGAGCCTCCGAGAAAACTACGCAAACGTTTACTCGATCCTTTGCCAAGTCCCAGTCCGTTGACTACAAAGCCACAGATGAAAGCAAGAATCAGTTCAAGGTCAACGCGTTATAATAGCTCAGTAAAAATGTAAATTTAGTTTGCTGACTTATAGGAATTACAAACAATTACAACGTTTCGTTTTTTAATTTAAATTATTAAAACCATTTTATCGTCTCGGTATATAAAATGGCTATATTTACTGATATATTAGAATTTCATGTATTTAGATGATTTTTATCGTTAATTAATACTCATTTAAAATGTCTAATGCACGACCATATAAGTAAAAGTTCCACAAAATTCCCAATGTAAAAATGTCTTTTCCAAGTAATAAGCATGTTCAATCTCAGTAAAAATTCTTGTCATCTCAAAATACTTTCGTCAAATAATTATTTGCCAAGATTATTACAGACAAGAGTGGTGATTACATATTTGCTCACTATAATAATTAAATTACTAAAATTGTTAAGATATCATTTAATCTTCAGATTGCTCGGTAGAAAAAACTTGAAAGGTTAAGTTTATCTTTTGGTGATTTACGCTGTCATATTTCTTTTTAGTGTAGAAAAATAAGATCAACAAAATAAATAGTAAAAAAGTGAGAATCATAAGGCCAGAACTAATGGAGAATCCCAATAAAAAAGATGACAGAAGAAAGGATTATAAACATGGAATAAGGTAATGTCTCAGACTAAAACGAGAACAAAAAATAGATACAACTGTTCACATTACTGTAGTACTTAGTCTTAAAATAAGTACTATCGATAAAGAAAATATTGATTACAAGAGTTTTTTTACCCTTGATCTGGATCATCATCACAGTTAAGTTTACAAATCGTCTTTACAGTTTTTATGTGTTTTCTATTAAATTGGTTGTTTATCGAATCACCGTAGAAATATGATCTAGTAGTTTTAAAATACGATTTCCAAAATGTGTTTATTTTTAAAATCATTCTCTATATGCATCTCTTCAATCATACAATATTTTTAGTTTTTCAGCCATTGATACAACTGAACTCTCGTTACTTAAGCTTCTGCTAGAGATAACTAAGTGGGATTAGCTTGATATTATTGTCGGTTAGCTGATTGTTCAGTCTTGCAACAGTTGTGATTCAGAATGAGTGAATTTCAAATCACTACTTGACACTATAACGGTTGTATAGACGTTAAGAAAAACCAGTTACTCAAGATACCTCATTTTTCATGAACATGGATGTTTTCCACTTGTTTATGATAAAAATCAAAGTCAGCTTCTACATAAGAAAAACGTTAATGATATTTGGAACGACAGTAAAAGTCCCACAAATAAGGGATCTAGCTCAGAGAACCCAATAACACTAAAATAATCCAAGAAATCTCATCAAGTTTAAATGGTTTTTTAAAAATCTTAGCCAATCTTTTATTTAGTGGTTTAATAGTTCAGTTATATATTATCCTCTCCTAGTCAGCCTTCAATTTTTCCTTCAAGAAAAGAATGTTAACTTTTTGAATTACATTTAAACCACACTTATTTTTGGTTAACCAGTTATTAATTATAATTTATTTAGATCAGATTCATTGGAACCTGTTTGGATACAAGAAGCTAAACAATTAGCAGAAAAAATTCGTCCTATCCTAAACGCATTACGTAGTCATATATTGGCTGGTCCTTTTCAAAAACCTGTTACAGTAGATGAAGCTCCAGATTATTATGATATTATTGTTTTTCCAATAGGTAAACAAATTTCAATTTATTCATCTCATCATGTTTACTAAACTAGTAGTGATAAGTAACATATGTTCCTAATAATTATAAATAATTCTTGTTTTATTCTCATTTTATGTTTTCTAAAATATTTTTTATGCAAACTTAATAATAGTCCAAACATTTACACTTTTATATGTAGATTATGTAATTCTATGCAGCGTAGATCCTGCTAAGATTGTAACTATTTAGTAGAAATCCATGAACTGTAATGAATTCACATTATTCAATTTGAGTTATTATTCTCGTTTTATTAACCATTTTAACGAGAATAATTCCTTAACTCTATTCAAATTGTCTCACTTAATCGAATTTTTTATTTCACTGGAGAAGAATAACCTATCTATATAGCATGTTACCGGTTCGACATATTTGTAGGTACTAAATCTAGGCGCATAGTCTATTTGTACTTACAGTTTGTTAGATTTTCAATAGAAATTTATTGTATATATACTTACCTTTTGTGAATAACTGTTTGTAGTTATCATTTTAAGTCACATTCGATAACTAACATATCCAATATTGTCATGTTACATGACGTGAAAAAAATAATGGTTGATATTTTGAATAAAACAGTTCTATTGTTATCGCTTGTGTTTTTGGATAGTTATATTCATTTTAAAAGTTCTCTATTATATTTTGAATTTAGAAGCCTAGAAAACATTAGCCCTGTTTGTACAATGAAAACAGATGTTTCTCTGGGCTACAATTAAAGATATCACCAACATAAAAACTAATACAATTATTGTTACTAGTTGACGAGATAAGATTAGCTACCCTGTTATATTCTTTTACTTTTAATATAGACCACAACTGATCATCGTTCGTTGAAGGGAAATTTTTACCTTACTCTGAGAAATCTCAATCAGATTTCGATATATATGATATATCATCTGACTACTCTTGCAATCAAGTTTTCAACTTAATTCTTCACAGTTTTTACAAAGTGATTAAGTAACTGGTTATTTAGTAACTAAAGCACGCCTATTAACTAGTAGATTGTAGCTTTAAACCCTGTTCCCCTCTGTTTGGTATTAGGCAACCGGATAGTATTAGTAGACTTTATACAAACTAAAATATGAATACGGCCTACTTCTACTATACAAACTCATTTCTTGCTAAACTTTCTTAAATACCTGATTTTTCTTGAGATATCATGGTTACTTCTACATACTTTTAATTGTCACATGGTTTTGTTTTAACAGCCAATTTGAATTGGAAAAGTTCTGAAAAATGAGATTATAATGCAACTAATTACTGGTGATTTTTAACTTAAACTAAAATAAAAATGTCAGGTACTTTAAAAAAAAATAATCTAACTCCTTACTCATATCCTTTTTTACAGATTTAAGCACAATGTGGGAACGTTTAAAATCGAATTATTACGTTACGAAATCCTTGTTTATTGCTGATATGATGCGAATGTTTCATAATTGTCGTACTTATAATCAACAAGACTCTTATCTTTATAGAAGTGCTAATACTTTAGAACGTTATTTCATCAATAAAATGAAAGAGGCGGACTTATGGCCTTAAATTATATTACAGAATCAACAAATTATGTAACTGAGTTTAGTAAATTTTGTTTGAATGTTTCTTCTCTTATCTGCTTCCTGTTTTTCAGGGTAACACTTCGTACAAGTTTTGTATTTCATAATTTATTGTATGACAAGTGTTATTTTGTGTAAATAACTTATAGTCTTATTAAATTTCGTAGTTGTTAATATTGCTCAAGAACTATCAATAAATATCTGTACTGAAAATCCTGATTTTAATTTCGAATGGGTTTAATTTCTATCTAATATTTTTCACTTATTCCTAGTAAGTTACTGAGCTTTAAGAGAAGTATGAAGAATAAGTGAAGAGCACATGGACTAGTGATTGAGTTGGAAGGTGTGCTTAGTTGCTTTGCTGATTAGATTAGTAATCATGTTATAAAATCCAATCGTCTAAGAATTTCAAAACACCACGATATATTCTGTTTCATGAATTAACTAGATGACGTACAATTAGATTCTCAGAATAGATATATTTCGTTATGAAGTTGTAGACACAACTTTCTTCATGATTTTAACGGGATGCATCTAGATAGACTGCTATCCTGAGACAATAATTTCAAGTGGCTGATGTAAAACCCACTTCAGAAAAAACGTGAAAAGGATTTAAGGCAAAAGAAAATAATGTTGACTTAGAGACAAACTAGCGACAAATGCACACTACCATCATCTTCTAGGTATCGTTATCCTGAAAAAGATTGTTTACTAGTCTTTTCTGAAGAAATTTCTGCACATACACATGGTCTGGATACTTCATTAATTTACCAGTAACTATTTAACTTACAAATTAAATTAGCGATAGCTTAACATATGTTTAAATTAATGACAGACCTGTGGTGTTTCAATATCATGTCTACTGGTACACTAAATTTCATTTAGTTTAACGCTTATGGATGACTTTTGCTTCAAACTGTGAAAACTAATTGATATGATACGTAAATCAACTGAATAACCCTCTCCGAAATGGATATATCTACCACGCACGCAATGTCGTACACGATACCTAAATGTTACTTCACGAGATTTCGCAAAACACGTAATAGATGCACATCACTTTTATAGATGGCTGCAGTTACTTCAAGGAGAATCATTAGCCTAAACAAAACCTTGATAATGCCAGAAAACGACTGAGCTCTTGAGTGACATGCGAACTGTCAGAAGCAACCGACAGGAACCCGTGCACTCTAGCATGCTAATAGTGGCTAATTTACGGTTATATATTTGTGGTGGATACTTGTACAGGGTGATTCGGCATTGTGGGTGGTCTAACTGTAATCGTTACAGACTTAAAGAGCAAACTATGATGATTTAAGAGGAAGGAAATAACATCCATTCTGTCGGAATGGAGTTTGAGTCAGATCTTCATTCAAGCGGTGGTGTTCATATAGAATAATAATTGCTTTGTAAATCGCTGCTCGCTTCATTCTAAGCAAAATATGATAACTTTATATGCCTTCACGATATTCGAGTTTAGGGAACTTTTGCTAGAAATACCACATTCAAAACTCCCACTCATCCTGAGTTTATTCACGGTTACTTATTTGAGAAATGCGACGAGTATTTTATACCACCAATTTATAAGCTGATGACCTGAAAAAACTTATAGCGTAAAATGAAAATAAATCCTTAGCTTACTGCACTTGTACTTTTTCCGTATTTACAATGAAGTTGATAATTAGAAAAGCAGTAAGAAAGATTTTATTTCAGTAGTTTATCTTCTCAGTTCATCGCTTGCTTACTATCAGACTTCATTCTCAGAAGAAACACTTATGCACCACTAATCAGTATAGCACTTAAGTATATTACATTCTCTAAAATGCTTTCGATAAATTTTTCATCCTACCCATATGCACCACAACTCCGCCTGTAGCTGTTTCAGGGTTACCGCTGATCGCAAGCCCGTATAAGACAGGAAGGTTGGGCATAGGGTCCGAAACCCCATCCCATGGGAAACAAACTTGCCATAATATGCTAACCAGAAAAATAATACAAACCATCTAAACTGTGACGTGTGAGGATCTCCCATCATAAGGATTATGACGCTTCATGGTGAAAGCCAAGGTTCCTCAGACGTCAAGAATCCAATACCATTTATAACATCCAGAGCAACAACTAATGTAGGCACATGGAATGTCCGGACAACGTGGTGAACTGTGAAGGTCAACCAAATAGCTGTGGAAATGAACCAAACGTACTCAAACTGTTGGGATTAGGTTTGAAAGAGATGTTCTTGTTCTCTCCGTATGAAGAAAATGCTTTGCACACACAAGGAGTTGCACTGATGCTCTACAAAGAAACAGGAAAACCACTCATACAATGGGTATCGCATGATCCAGAATCATCAAAGCATTCTTCAAAACATAGAACGAGGTGAACACAATCAATATTATCCAGTAATGTGCACTCACCAATGATAGCAATGAAGGCGATAAACATCAGCTTCGTGAGGTTTCAGTCGACCGTAGAGAAGTGACTGCAAAAGAATCTAACCATCCTGATTGGATACTTAGATGCAAAGTCGGATCGGACTACACTCACTATGAAGATATTATGGAACGACACGGACTGACCGAGAGCAAGGGGTTAAAATGGTGAGATCTTTGCAAACTTATCTGCATTCAGTTGAATGGTTGTACGTGGTACTGTATTCCTCCACAAACGTATACACAAACCTACATGGGTCTTACCGGAGGATCGATCATATTTACGTCAACAAAGAGTTCAGAAGATCAATGGGAGACTTGAGAGCAAAGACACGAGCTGCACACCTTCAGATCACCATCTACCTGGTGGTTGCCAAGATGAAACTCAAGCTAAAGAACTACTGGACAACTGGAGAAACAGCATTACAAAGGTTCAATACAGCCTTCCTTCGACATACTGACAAACTCAACAACAGGTTACAAGTACTACAGCATCTACTCAAACAAGAGGAGACTACGATGGAGAACAACTGGAAACGGATCAAAGATGCACTAACGCCACAATTCAAATAGGTTCTAGGCCGCAACAAGCATCATCATAAGAAACAGATCCTTATTGATACCTTGGACAAGATTCAAGAAAGGAAGAACAAGAAGACAGCAATTAGCAACAAATGAACAACAACAGAGATAGTCAGAGCACAGACTGAATACACAGAACCAGACAAGAGAGTGAAGAGGAGCGTTACAGCCAATAAGCAGAAATACGTGGAACACTTAGCAATGACAGTGGAAAAGGCTGCAACACAAGGAAATATGAAACAACTACTATATGATACAACAAAGCAACTGGCAGTGAAATATTGTAAACCAGAGCCACAAGTCAATACGAACGTAAAGACGGTTCTACTGTAAGGAGTGGATACGTGGAGAACTACGACCGTCATCTTAAATGTACAAGTATTTATAAACAATTATCTACGCGAGATACTCAATGTCCTTGGGCTAGATACCATAAGCAACAACCGGAGATGGCTAAGAACCAACCGACTTTCAGTTAAACTGAAAATTAAGAAAAGATGCCGGGGGTGGGTAGGATTTGTTGGCTGATGCTCTACTGCGTTTTTCATCAGGTTCAGCAACTCTCTATTAAAGACTTTCCCTTGTACTGACAGTAGTTTAGTGACTCAGTAGTTTTCACATTTGCTCAGATCTCCTTTCTTTGGAATCTTGATGAAGTCACTAATAGTACATTAATTGCAGAAATCATCAAACTGCATCAAGAGTAAAACTCTGATTTGGAATCCCGAAGGGGAAAGGAAAAGAGGAAGACCATTGCGTCGGAAATTAGAGGCAAGTAACAAAAGAAGGAATAACAACTATAAAGGTCTGTTCAGGACAGAGTTCGATGGAGAACCCGGATGGGCAGCTTATGCTCCTCTGAAACGGGTAATAGGCGTAGGTAAATAAGCTCTTCGCACCACAAACAAAACTGCGAAATCACATATGCAATGAACACGTAAATTGGCGTAAAATTTTACTAGAATATGTATATAAAGTGCATTAGAGACTGGTCAATTTTAGCCCTGAGCATCAATGGGATGATTCAAACAACTAATATACATGAATTAAGCGTCACTCTATCGCACAAGCAAATGGTTCTCTGATATAAGTAGCCAATTGGATAACGCGGTGTTTGAAGCAAACGTTATCGGGTTTGATTCCCGGAGCGAACACAAACTTTGGGATGAAGGCATATCCAAACAGCGAGGCCCAAATAGGACAAAACACGCATTCTGGGTTCCACTGCTAGCCACCATGTAAATCTGCTTATAAGAAGTAAGTCGTGCTTCATAAGCATCCGTCTAATAAACTAATGAATGACTTCATGAAGTAAATGTAAATTCAAAACAAGTGTAATTTCGACAAGATTAAAAGTATTAAAATACACTTGACAGTTATGTGCAAACAGAGAAATGCAGACATCCGAAAAAAACATGTTCATTTCATCATAAGATCTATGGCGAAATTTAAAAACGGCGAGTCCTTTAAGAATGTGAGCGAGAAGAACTTGAACTAGAGGATGAACTAGAACCGGAATTCGAACTTGATGAGGAGGAAGAAGATGATCCTGAGTTGGAAGAAGACGAAGACGATGAACGGGAAGATGCTTTCTTATCACGACGGTTAACATCTCCAGGTTTTTTATCACCTCGACCAGCAGTTGATTGTAATTTTGCTTTAGGACTATGGGACCTAGGTCGTTTAGGGCCAGTTCGAGAGCTTGGAGGACCTACAAAACACAACAACATTTTAAAAACGCATCAAGAAATCAAAATACCTAGTACTTAAGACAATATTGTAATGACTTGATTAATTAAAATATGATCATGAAGAAAGAAATTTAAAAAATCACATAATTAACTATATTACTTAAAAAGACAAATAAAACAGCCCCTTTTAGAGTCAGCAAAAGAGATTATCCTACGTTTAAATATTTGGTGTTCGACAATATATTACACAACCAAATGTGTTACTCAATATCTTAATGAAAGAAATAAAACAATGAACTTACTAGGTCTGCGGTAACGTGATCCCGTAAGAGGAGAACGAGGTCGATTAGTTGAATGACTTGCAAATGGACTGCCACTGCTTCCTCGTCGGTTTCTTTTGAGTTCATTATCTAGACGACTGCCACGTGTTCTTTCACGTTCACGATCCCTAATGCGTTCTCGAATTCGAGAATGCTCTTGCCTATCATGAGTTCGAAAATGATTGTGAGAAGCACGTTTTTTACCAGAATCTTCTTTCACACGATTATGTTCTGTGGAATCATTAAATGTTTTTGAAGTATGTCCTTCGCGATTATGTGACCTTGCACGATCATGCTTTGATGAATCATGGCCTCTTTTTCTAAAAAGCATTAAAGAAGCAGTTACGGAAGTATCAATATACGGTAAGTGATAAAGGCAAGAGCTAATTGTTACTTTTTTAAGGCCATTGGAAAGAGAAAAAAGAGAAAAGGAGGAAACAGATTAAAATTTGAGAGAACACAGAGTGGATGCACCTGCATCATTGCAAACGATTTTGAGCCATGTTATTCAGGGTCTCTAACCATCGGTTGCTATTATCTCGCGGATTCCAACCAGGTAGTCCACACCTAACAACATGACTCAGTCTACTTGTCAGTGACTTCATGGATTTGTGCCATGTTTTGGTCTGGCCGCCCCTAGCTTTCTTCAAACCTACTCCTACATCATAAAACATCGCACGTCGAGGCAGTCGGTCGTTGGGCATACGTAACACGTGTCCACGCCATCTCAACTGATCAAGTTTCACTACTTCATCAATCGATTTGCCATCCTTACCTAGTACCCGTTTCCTAACAACTGCACTCCTCACTCAATCGTCCCACGATATACGAGCAGTGTTTCGAAGACACCTATGATCGAATACTAGTAACCTACGAATATCCTCTACTCTAACCGGCCACGTTTCACTGCCATAAAGTAGGACGGAACGAACTGCTGCGCAGTAAACACATCCTTTGGTCGATAGACGAATATCTCGCCTACGCCATAAATGACGCAAGTTGGCAAAAGCTAGTCGAGCCTTCTGTATCCGTGCTGAGATTTCGTCACACACCAGACCACAAGGGATGATCAGACTTCCAAGATAAGTGAAGCGGTCGACACGCTCAATTACTTCACTCCCTATCATTAGTTCGGGTGTCGATGCAACCCAATCTTGAAGCAACATTTTGCATTTCGAGGGGGAGAATCGCATGCCGAACATACTTGCATTGTTGCTTAGAGTGGTCAGAAGACTCTGCATTTTGTCAGCGTCTTCACCAAATAGAACTATGTCATCGACATATTACAAGTCAACAAGTGAATCTCCTGGTAGGAGTTCAACCCTTGGAAATTTAGATCAGGAAAGTGTTATCTCTAAAAGTACGTCAATGACAAAGTTAAACAAGAATGGAGAGAGTGGGCAGCCCTGACGAACACCACTCGAGGAAATCAATTCTGATGACAGTTCGCAATAAGCTCTCACTCGACCAGTTGTGTTCGAGTAGAGAGCCTGTATAGGGTTAATGTACTTGTTTGGTACTCCTTTCAGTGACAAACACTGCCATAGAACAAGGCAAAGAATTAATCACAGCTCTAAGTAAGAATGAAAACAAATCATATCCAATGATGTTATATGCGACTTAGTACTTCCATACAATTTTGATGAATGTATAAAATTAGTGAAAAATTTATAAACGATCTCTCAAATTAATCTGGTTTCTTATAGATACAATCTAAAGCATCGTAGTTCTGTGTGCTACTGAAAGTGATCAAATGAAAAAAACTTTTAAACCGTTTTACATATCCAGTAATGAAAACTGGTCAATGTTATGTAAAATATATAAAGTTACTTACCTGTAGCTGTTCGTTCATCTGAACGGCCTGCATGATCACTTAGGTGTGCCGTTCGAGAATGAACTTCAGAAACTCTTACTTCTTGTCCATCTATTTGTCCTCCATTCATGAAATTAACTGCATCACTGGCTGACTTGGAATCGACATACTCAACATAACCATACCCCCTGTTAAATTCCGGGTGAATACGATCAGGTGGAAGATCAACTGAATGGATTTCTCCCCAAACGGAGAATATTTCCTGAATATGAACCTAGAATGTAATAAAGAAAATGGGAAAAATTTGAAGAAGAAATGTTTATACTGAAAAGACAAAACTGAAAGTTACATTTACATACGCCGACCTCAAAAATATATCCCTTATGTTCAGGATATTATTTCAAATCGATATATTTTGGGTTTCCAAGAAACGACAACTCTGTCAATGCAGTTTGCTAAAACGTGACTAGTATTAGAATGATACGAAAAAATGATAATAGAGATCTTGAGGTAAATCAGAACTACGTAAATTTTAGTGATTAAATGTTGAAAAATTGTATATAATTTTAGAAGTGTACATAATAATTATGGTTTTGCAAATTGGCTTGAAGTATCAGAGGGATTCAACAGATTTCCTAAATCGTGTTTCTTAAAATGGTTGAAGGAAATAGAAAATTAAAAAATCGACTATTACCTTTGTTATATTTTTAGTCAACTTCTCAATAAGTACACGAGTGAACCGACTATCGGATGCAGAATTGTTATTAGGAAGAGGTTTTTCTGCATTGTTCTCCTTGTTTGGCTTTGATACAATATTATGTGATGTTTTATCCCGATTCTTATTTTTCGATGTCTCTGCAACCTTATCGTCAGAATCCTGCACTGAAGACGAAAGTGTCGACCCAGTAACAGCTGAAGTATCTGGAACTTTTAATAAGTGATCTGTTGAATTTGATTTTGGGTTACCCTCAGGTTTGCTCAGTTCATCCTTAGACGTTAATGCACTGACTACTTTTTTCTTTGAATCACCAGGTTCCGATGATTTATAAGACATCTGTTGTGTTTTATCGCTTACTTTAGAATGCATAGAACTTGACTGACCGGGTGGATGAGGACGTTCACTAAGGTTTTTTGTATCCGAAGCTAAATTTGAAATGAATAATTATTTGGGCATTTAGTACTGCAGAAAGGAATTTTGTTTAGAGAACAGACTAAGAAACATAAATGGAACAAAATATTGAGCAAGTAACTTTAGGTTTAATATATGTGCAAAAATATCTCCTAAATGGCTGACAGACGGCATATTCCTATACTTTTCGTTAACTAATGAGAAGGGAAGATTCGGAACATACAATTAACAAATATTCCTATGCTTAATTTTAATGAATAATTTGCAAGAGATTCAACGGGACTTGAAGCATCAGAGACCAAATGTCTATCCGATCGGTATATTTAACTATATCGAACTCCATAAGTAACACATTTTTAATAGATGTGCTGTAAATAATAAATTATTATACTTTGATAACGTAACTGAGTTATTCGTGTGTATCAAGAAGTGATGAAGCAATATACAGTCAAAAAATTATTCGCAGTAATGAAAGATTAGACTCAGTACGTAGACTACATTCTGAACAGTGATATTTTAAGAAAACTCGAATAAACGAGTCGATGTAATGTATCAGATGATTCAATAATTGATGTGGAAATGTAGAAAAACAGTAACCCTTTGTAATTAAAGCATTAGAACTACTGAATCCCATATAGATGAGCTCCCAACAAAATCCACTCTCTCTAATCGCTTTTAACAGGTAACATACACGAGTTATTGAGATGGTACATTTCACTACAGCAATGTGAAAAATTTCCTGATTAATTTGCTGAATACACTGGAATTTATACCTTGTTTATTTATCAATGGACAAACGTTTACTCTCTTTAGTTGTACCGTAACCTCATTTAACTACGGTATGCAATCAAAATACCTAATGAAAGGACACAAAACTACTATCGTGTTAGTTAACAGGCAAATAACTAACAAACCTTGATAAAACGGTGTTAGCGGGACATAGACTAGATTAAAGCATGCTCAATGCATGATTGCTTTGGTGCACGCTGATTGGCTAATTCTTATCCAATCAGCACTAGTCGATAGTTGGAGAACACTCTGGAATCTTCTCATGTAAAAACTATAAATATACTGACGTTTTCCCTATTGTGCTTCTGACTTGCTATTTGGAATATAATCTCTTTCCTGTTCAACCGTGTTCTGATTTGGGGACTTGTCGAGTGAATCGGTGTCCGAGAATACTAAGCAATAGGAATAGCTGGGTCATAACCGTAAGAAGAAAGAGATTATAACAGTGGCGACGGGGAAAAACTAAAGAAAAATGGCGATTTCTTTAGAACAGTTGCGGTTAATATTACAGCACCAGCAGAAGTTGTTAGCCTTGCAACAACAACTATTGAGCACACTTTTCACTCGACCAGAAAATAAGAAATCTGTTTATGATGCAGTAACAGACATTTCAGAAGCATATCCAGTGGAGGGTTCAAATCCCTTTATACCTGAATCAGAACGTAATATTTGTAACGTGTCCGGCTCACAGCAAGAAAATACTGTGCTGAATGCTCATAAAGTTGTGGCAATACGAGATGATCAAGAGCCAGACCCTGTAGATGAAGCCCGGAGTCCAGAATTAAATGAAACACTACTGGTCCTGTCTAGCTCTGAAAATAAATTTCAGCTAGAACAAAATTATGGTCCACGTGATATTAGCCGAAAAAGCTATGGGGACTCATATTCAGAAAATAACTGCAGTGACACGATGAACCCAATTATACCGAATGTTACTCAAAATCATTGTGAGACAGAAATTTATACTGAATCAGCTTATCCGATTTCTAATGACAATGTATCAGATATGGGTTCTCAGAATAATGCATGTAATTTTGATGAAATTTCTTATAAAAATGAGGAAGATATGTCGGCTGAGTCAAATTATGGTCAGAAGTCTAAATTAATTTTGTTAGATGTTGATTTTCGTAATGATCCATTATCCACTGATGAAATTTCTAATGCATTTGAAAGTAATGCTTCAGAAGAATTAAACTCTGACCTCAAATCAAAGGTCGTTCATTATCATCTAGTCATTTCTAGTGGATCCGACATTCAATGCAAGAAACATCGTTTAAATAAAGTCCTATTATTTGTAACTTGGAGATATAAGGATCCGACATTGTTTCGCGGAGGAGGAGAATGTTGGAGAATTAAAAGTTATGCATACTTTTATTTTTAAAAAAATCAAAACGCCGGGAACAGACATGTCAGTATCTGTGCAAGAAAAAAAGTGATAATTCTTTATTGCCTAGACGATGAACTAATCGAAAGCACAAGCCAGTCACTCAGTTGCAGTTGGACCCTAGCACCAGATCCTACGAATCTGCTCAAAGGGGAGGTGTTAGCGGGACATAGACTAGATTAAAGCATGCTCAATGCATGATTGCTTTGGTGCACGCTGATTGGCTAATTCTTATCCAATCAGCACTAGCCGATAGTTGGAGAACACTCTGGAATCTTCTTATGTAAAAACTATAAATATACTGACGTTTTCCCTATTGTGCTTCTGACTTGCTATTTGGAATATAATCTCTTTCCTGTTCAACCGTGTTCTGATTTGGGGACTTGTCGAGTGAATCGGTGTCCGAGAATACTAAGCAATAGGAATAGCTGGGTCATAACCAGAAGAAGAGATTATAACAAACGGGATAAATATTTCTAGGATTCGAGAGATACAGTCTTAAATAGTATATAAAAATACTGCTGGGGTTGAGTAACAGATGTATTAACAAATTGCAAAAAACAATGCAGCTACACGCAAACCTGGGACAAGATTAGATTTTTTGGATCCCTTCGATGAATTTGAGGAGTCCGATGCCGAAGAGTCATTTGAGTCAGAATCAGATGATGACGAATTCGAATCTGAGGAACTGGATGTTGACGTACGACTTCGTCTAGCACGTCGCCTAGGTGGACTTCGAGTAATCTTAGAATGGGAATATTTTCTGTCGTGCTGTCTGGAACTTGAAGAGTGGCTAACCTTGTCTGTACTTTTGAGAGGGTTCTTTTTTGCAGATATCAAAGTCTTCGTTGAACTCTTATTGGTGCTCAAATCTGGCATCTTGTCAACTATAATGTATAACAGAATATGAAATTAACGACAGATTCACAAGTAAACAAAAGTCACGTAAGATCATGATTATATGAATATAAAAACATGTAATGTAAGGTAACATCGTCAAATCCGAAAACCAATAGTTCATCGGTCTTAACAGAGACAAAAAAGTAATCTATACTTTACTACTACTGCTTTCACTTTTATATCAATGGGATAGAGTTAAAAACGCTGTTCTCTGAAAGTTAAGTGCTGTTATACTCTGTTTTTTGATCCCACCACAATAAGTCTTATGAAGCATGATAAACTTAATTATTTACCGAAAGATTAACTGGATTAATATAACCAGTTGAATAGAAACATAAATCGATTTCACCAACTACAAACAAGAACAATTTCTCATAAAATTGTACTTTGGTTTACAATAAGCTGATGACTGTTTTCGTACATGATCGTTTGATTCGATGACATTTCTAAAAAAGGTATGTTGTCAGCAATGATACTATACATTATTTATAGTCAATTAACAGAAAACAGTTTCTGCCTAGATATTTGCCCGACAAAGTATGTAAGATAATTATGATTTATTCTCGCGTATCAAAGACAATGAGAATTATTATCAAGACATATTAGTTTCAAACGACTAACCATTAGGCTTAATATTCTACATAGTCCAAACATCGATATAACCAGTCGTCTTTACATGGAACTTTAGATATAAAATGCTAAATATCAAAGTGAAATACGTTTGTGGAGATCAGTGAGATTAATAGTTTAAAAAATAGCTGACTAAAACGGAATATTAAACAAGGAATAATTAATAAAGAAGTCGATGCGATTATTTTGAGGTAAAGCTAACGTAAGTAAATGCAATTTATAATCAAAAATAGATTACTGTAGATCACCCCATCATATGAAAAAGTCGTAATGGTTACGCATGATAAATAGTGACTAATTACTTTCAGTTACGGGAATCAGTGCGACATTGGAATGTAATCACAGAAATCATGCTTTGTTCCAGATTTTCATAATAATATAACTTATCATCATGATACTCAAGGTGGTCATGTTGCTGTTATTCCTCAATAACTTTAGATACAAAACAAGGATACGATATATTTTGTTTACAATTCGAAGAAAACCAATTTACTGAGCCACAATGAAATAATCACACAACCATTGCCAAATTCTTACAAAGTTCAATAACATGACCAGTGTTATGTAACACTAAATAAAAATTTCACACTAGTGTTGCAACACATTACTATTTCTGCGGGCTCTATTTGAGTTGAATGCAGGAATATTTATTTTAATTCAGGTTAAATCAAACCTCAAGGATCATATATAATATAAAAAACAAGAGGATATTTGATAAATTGAGGATATGGACGGAATCTGCATTTTATAGTCCAAGTTAAATGAAATATCATCAAAATGCAAACCAATCAGTACATATTCAAACAGTAACAAACTTAAAAAAAACCATTCAAGAATTTAGGATTGATAGGCAATTTTATTAAAACTTTCGAAATTATAATACAGAAATTAATAACATAAGTTTAAATAAACAAAACCCACAGCCAATAAGATGTTTTATACATAAACTCAAAGGATCAATATGTACATAAAGAAAATCTGAAATTTGATTAAACTAAATGAATTTGGCGATTATATGACGGAAATAATATCACATAGGTTAAAAAGAAAATGCGACCATACTTATAGAGAACGAGAACTACTTTGAAGAAAAACAAAATTAACTCAAAAATATCTGAAAGTTTGATTTTGCAAGTATAGTAAATAAACGTTTGAATAGTACAGGAAGTATTTCAGGTAAGAGAAGATATATAGGCGCAGTTCGATAATTTACAGAAATTTGAAAACGGCACCATCAACAACACAACCTCAGAACATATGTACGAAATATTTGAAATTAAAACAAATAACTATCAGTTCATCCATTTTCGACAATTAATTGAACCACAAAGACATGGAATCCGATCCCAACGATCTTCTTCTAGGTCAAATTTGTAGTCATATGTCAATTCATCACCTTTTTCGATGTTTTTACTAGCAATTATCACTATATGGTTAGAATTATCACAGTGGAGTATCTCTGCAGTACAGTTCGGGTCACAAGAATGATTAATGTAACGAGCTAAACCACCAGACATAGTTGCATCCACAATCCAATCGTCATCGACTCGAAACATGTATATTCCTCGATTTTGCGACTCATATAAACGTTCTCTTCGATTAGCTACTTCGTTACGAATGACCTCTCCCAGATACTCAATAATGAAGGTACTTTTACTTATATCACGAGCAGCATACAATCCCAGGCCTTGTATTCGAGATCGCGCTAAGACGACATTTGTTTTCCAATCCCAACGTAGTCGACGATACTGTTGAGATTTACTGGTCATGCCCGGAGACAGAGAATTTAGGTAAGTGGGACTTCCGATATCTGAACTGTAAGGATGACCAGGAGTTTCAAGAAAAAACGTGGTTGTGGGCAATATACGGACAAGTGTTAACATCTCCAGTAGACTTGCGCCGGATATAAGTCCGAAGCTTGGTTCAGATCGAGCAGAGCCTGTGGGATTTATTGCTAAAGGCATTTCCTGAATTAACTGCAGTTTACCAAATTTGAAAAGGTAATTGCTCAGACGATCTACACCAGGTAAAGATTCGATCGCTCGAATAATATGAGGCTCTGTAAGACCATATAACACCTCACCTTGTATGTTATCCTGCAAAATTCGGGAAAACGACGAACATTTGCGTGACGAATTTATACGATTTATTATTTTCCGCCAAACACCATCGCAGGTCGTATCTTCAAAGAAGATTTTTTCTTCATTTGGTTCTATTACTTCTACAGTAAACTTTACTAAAATAGGATCAACGAGAGACCGATTTACATCATCTGGCCGTACTGAATCTTCTATTCGGCAATCATAACGGCAACGCTGACCCACGTGACGAAAAGACCAATAAATTCTAGAGGTCCAGTAACCGACAGGATATATGAAATTCGATGTATGGAAAACTCCACTAGCTAATTGTTCAGGTAGCAACTGGCCTATTCGATGCAATATTAATGTTCCTATACGTAATTTAAGTTTTGGTCCCTTAACATTTTGCATTGAATTGAAATGATCTTCATCTGATATGATTTTTTCGACCTGTGAATGTTCATCTCTGGAAATGTAAACCTTTCTTTCAACAACTAAGCTATCAAGGTGGGGTATATTACTTGTACTTTTAAGATGTAACGGACAATACATTCCTCGATCAGGGTGAAAAGAACAATTGATTTGATAGGCACATGGTAAGTGATATACGGCTTGGCAATCCGAATCAAAACAAGGTAAGCCAGCTCCCAGATTTTTACAATAGGTGCAAGGAGTTTTCGAGGCCTTTTCCGAAGAACAAGGTACATCCATTAACGAGCCACTAACTGTTTCATAGGTTTCGTAACACCAAAGTATACAGTTTAGATGTAACCATTTATCGGTATCGTAGTTAAGCAATCTACTGGTTACATCATTTGATCCATCACCTATTTGATGGCATAACTGGCATACGCGAGTGTCGATACATGAAAATTTTTTAGATAGAAAACTTTTCTGGGACATGGGCAAATCAGACGAGCTTTGCAAAACATTGAATGAGCATACTGGTGGGCTACCAATAAGTCTTCGCCAGCGAATATTACGCCATCGTTTCACAGTAGAGCTAACCCCAAATAACATACGATTAGATGTTTCGTTGGGACTTCTTTGAAATTAACTTGTAAATCTTGAGAAGAAAGACGTTTAGAAGATTGCTTCATACGTTTAGGATGATTACTTTTAACTAAGATGATAAGCGGTTGAGATTCGATTGTTGAAGTAACTGTAAAGGGAATATCAAAATTGCTGGCATCAGGAACAAATGACGTCATACAGTTAGGTCCCTGTCGTTTCAACCTTGCTAAACAGCTAGAACTGCAAAATGGTAAGCAGCTTTCTTTATCGTGAGACTTCCATTTGAATGTTTTCTGAGGTAACATTATTTGCATTTTACAATACGAGCAGGTTGCATGTGCTTCGCCATTAAGTCGATTACATAAAATAACCTCTTCACAATACTTTTGATTAGAGTTGTGACCGGTTATGAACCCGGATCCAAGAGAATGTTTGTCGCTGACTGTGTGATAAAGAGGAGGTGTTATGCAACCATTAGTATACATGTCACAGGGCTGGTTTGATGTTAAGAGGTCGAGGGGAGATACTTGGTTTACAGGAGAAGGAGAAATATAATTAGAATAGGAGTTTCGACTAAAAGTGCGTTTATATGCATCTGATAAAAAATTTTCATGATTTAAATTATTCATTTTTTCTTCGGTATCAGGACGTTGAGCTAAGAATCGCAAAATAATGTCATCCGGAATAGGTCTACATTCAGGTTTACATAAAGACAAAGGAAAACGAAAGTACTTCCGGCCTCGTATATTTACATCATTAGTGTAGTCCCTCGAAAAACGATTTTGAGGAAACCTTGGTGAAGGAATCGGTGGATATAAGTCGAATGAATGATGGAGTGGAGGATCTTGCAGAAAACGATTGACATTTTGTAAAAAAACAGGACCCATTAATGCATCTGCAGGAGAGTGATTTGAAATATTTTCACGGATTTTATCATTTAATGATCTATGACGCTTACCACCACGCTCAAGAACTTTTGAACCCTTCCGCTTACATTTCGACCCAAAAGAATCTTGACATTCAACCACTGGAAAACAATTAGTTTTAGTCGTTGAATTTGTTGCATTACTTTTCCAGTGATGTCTCGGGTCCAAATTTTGTGATGAGATTTTCCTATCGGTATTTTTCATTGATTCTTGAAGTAACACTGCATTCTTATTACGGTCATTTGTAGGATAAGCTATAGAAATTACTGGAGTTTTGTGTAAATAATAGTCATAGTTAGGTGATAACTGTTTTGGTTCAATAGGATGAATAGAATTCTTCGAATCAGTTGGACTGGAGTAAACATTCAAAGATCTTTTTCCCAAGGAGGAAGTGGTTGATATTTTTCCTGACCCCATAATTATTGGATCTGGGTCACACGTATAATCATCATTAAAAAACTTGTCTCTTACAATATTGTGTTTAATTCCAAACATGGATGAATCGACTTCTTTTAGTAGATAAACTGATGGTACAGTGATATTTTTTACCTTTGAGGATTGGACTTCGGTTCTGTCATATACGAATTCACATCCATCACTGGAAGGCACAGAAGCGTCAGAGACACATGCAGTTTTTCGACGCTGAAGATGATTATACATATTTTGCGAACTTTGGTAAACACTGTTTAAATCCTGAGATTCAAAGCATACTATAGAGTTAGATGTTCTTATGCAATTTGTAGAGCTTGTTGGATAAGTATTTGAGTGACCAAGGAGAGCAGAGCACCCAATGACTTCAGTAAAACAATGGTCAGCTTCAGAAAAACAAACTTTTAAAGGTGAGTTGTTTGACGTAGTTATTTTGTCGGAGGAAATACAAGTTTCACACAAGTGCTGAAAATCAGATCCACGAGACTTATTGTGGTTTTTGTACTGAAAAGAATGAGCATTATCCAAATTGTTGCAACCAAAAGACGTAAATGCAGAAGTTTTGTTACATAAATATGAAGTTTTAAATAATGTATCTTGTGACACTTGAGTATCTGTGAAACCCGGGTGAAATGTATGTGAATTGGCGCGGTTATCAAGACTGCTGTCTGTACGTACAGACCTGTAGAAGGCACTTTCTAGCATTCGATCTGAATACAAGACAGAACATTCATCATTAGCATTTGAACAATGTCCAATAGATTGAGGACATGGAGAGAGAGAGCATGCACTGTTTGAATGATCAGTATCAGTTAAATCTGAAGAGATTAAAAAGTTTACTGAACAATGTCCATCTGAACAATCACGAGAGCTACTTTTATCACTCGGCATTGATGGAAGTTCAAATGATCCAGGAGAAGAAACTTCTTTACTTGGTGTCTTGAAAGACGATGGTGATCTTTGAAACGATTCATCGTGAACGGATTCAGAGATAAATAAACCATTTTTATTGCATAAATGATCTTCGTCACAATTAGGTGAGCACGAAATAAGTGAAAACTGGCAAACCTCATTTGTTGAAACAGTGGAACTATTATTTGAAGACCCATAAATATCCACAACGGTCGTCATATCTCGACAACTTGAAACGAATCAAGAGCATTTATCAAGATGAAAATAGGAATCAAAGAGTGGATAGCGCTGAAATTAAAAATGGATGTTAACAAGAAAATTAAGGCAAGTACAAAAAGAAATAAAATGCATAATATTTTCGTTACATATATATATATATATATATATATATATATATATATATATATAAGCATGTGAGAAATGAATTTTTGAAAACAGGATCATGGAACATAAATTGGAGGTTTGATGGATATGAATTGAAGACGGTTTCCGTCAAAGTGTTGCGATCCCAGGCTTTTGCAACCAAATACAAGTTGTGACATTATGTGTTATACGTTATTTGACTTATAACCAAGGGAACTAATTTCGCCAATCTTCACTTTACTTACAACTAACTAGATGTAGAGTATTCTAGATTATGCTTATTAACTCGTAAATAAAAGCGCAGATTTATATTACATTCTGTTTTAGAACAATACATTACAGTACCAAAAAACGCCGAAAAATAGATATTATTGAGAAGCGAAGCAACATTTAGTTGGTCGATGTCATCACAACGAATAGATGTCAACTGTGAGACAAAAATGTAATGTTCTTGCTTCCAAGGAATAAGTGCGAACGTCAGTTGCTCTGCTACTTGAAACAATGTTGTTCAAATCTCCTTATCCATATAGGAGGATCTTGAGGTGTACTTTCAATACTTTTAAAGATAATCACATAATACAATGGTTTTGCTGAACTTAAGACAACGGTGATACCAAAAAAAAATGGTGTTCAGGTACATAACAGACGGAGTGGAGATAAGGAACTAACAAAAATATTTTTTACTTTAAGCTAACACACACTAGTTTTCTCAATTTAACACCATTCAGTATATTTGATGAGAAAAAAACTGAAAGCTACGGTTTTAACGCATACATGAAGTATCGTCTTTTGAACAAAGCAACTTACGTATTTTATTACGCCATAGAAACTTCCAGTTTATCATAGAATTCTAAAAATATGATCAGGTACTTGATGAAGAATGATTATGGACTTTAGAATCAGGGAATGGTCAACTGAGTTAAATTTCATGTTTCACTAATTGTCAGTCGATCATCATCAACATACAGTCTGGCACAGACTTGTGTTGGCTCAATTTGTCATGCCATAATAGCATGACAAGAAATCAACAAAACGAATAGCGGAAGCCATCGAGATAATGTAGTATTAATGATAAACAGAACGAACAAACCTTGGGACAGAGTAAAACAGTATGAAGGAATTTAAGATCCAGAGGAAGATAGAGAGTAGAATTGCCTGAGCCATTGCAAACGATTATGAGCCGTGTCACGAAAGATCATTAATAATTGGTCACGGACATTATGGTTACCTAAAGGACACTAACCAAGTAGCCTGAATCTGCCTACATGACTAAGACCAACAGTCAATGACTTCATGGACTGACACTAAGTCTCAATTTGCACTCTCCTAGACCGTTTTCAATCTATTCCTATACTAGATATCCCCAGTCGAGATAGATAGTGGATAGACGTACGTAGTACATATCCCAGACACTTTAATCGATGAAGATAAACTAGCATATCAGTCACCATCCTATCATTACCTAGTACTCCACATCTAAATTAAGAATTCCTAACTCGATGGTCACAAGATATACCAACAATGGCTTCATGATACCTCTGATTGAGTACTAGTAACCTAAGATTATCCTGTATTTTTAAGAGTAACGTTTCACATCCATAAAGTTATACAGCTCGAACTGCTTCGCAGCATACACGGTTATTTGGTTGGCGGAAGAAAATCTCCCCTACGCCACAAGTTATGTAAGTTGGCGAAGATTAATCGAGCTTTCTGAATTAGGGCAGAGATTTTATTAGACACTAACCCACCAGAGTTGATAGGAATTCAAAGTGAAGTGATCAACATGATCGACAACTGCACTACTTATCAATAGTCCAAGTGCCAACGTAAACCAGTTCTGAAGCAAAATTTTGCATTTAAAGAGAGAGAAATGCATCCCAAGTATTGCACTGTTGCTTAAGGTGGTCAGAAGACTGTATTTTGTCTGTTTTCACCAAACAGGACTATATCACTTGCATATTCCAAGTCACCAAGTGAATCCTTCGGTAGGAGATCGACTCGTGAAAAGTCAGACAATGAGAGTTAAGTAAAAGTGAAGGAAGTAGACAACCTTGAGGAAAATTACTTGGAATTCTCGATTCCGATGACGATTTGTAATAAGCCATGACTCAACCAATAGCGTCAAAGTGAACAGCCTCAGTCAGTGTCAGTCAGTAACAACGTAGAACTTAGTACGTACGTACCTCAGCTCGAGTTGCCATACCACATTACCACAGAGATGCAGTGGTCGATTCAAATCCCGTAGTGGTAGAGGTAATAAGAGTATAAGCAGTAATCCGGAAAATTTGCGTTTGGAGATGTCATTCAAAGAGTATAATACAGTGAAATAAATTTGGAAAGAGGAAAAAAAGAGACAAGGAGGAATAAGGAGATCAAAATTTGGGAGAACACAAAGAGTGGATGCACCTGCATCATTGCAAACGATTTTGAGCCATGTCATTCAGGGTCTCTAACCATCGGTTGCTGTCATCTCGCGGATTCCAACCAGGTAGTCCACACCTAAAAACATGACTCAGTCTACTTGTCAGTGACTTCATGGATTTGTGCCATGTTTTGGTCTGGCCGCCCCTAGCTTTCTTCAAACCTACTCCTACATCATAAAACATCGCACGTCGAGGCAGTCGGTCGTTGGGCATACGTAACACGTGTCCAAGCCATCTCAACTGATGAAGTTCCACTACTTCATCAATTGATTTGCCATCCTTACCTAGTACCCGTTTCCTAACAACTGCATTACTTACTCGATGGTCCCACGATATACGGACAGCCTTCACAAGGTTAATGCACATTTTTGGTAAGCCCTTCAAATAAAAAACTTCTATAGAACCTGTTGATTTACAGAATCGAACGCTGCCTTAAGGTCGAGGAATACAACTATAGTCGGACGTCGATAGATATGACCGTATTCTGAAATTTGAGGAAGATTCGGTACATTCATGTCAAAGTCTGAAACCAGATTGCTTTGCCTGAGTTTGATAGTTAGGACATCGAGAACTTTAACACGTATCTTGGAGAGAGGTTTCGGGGTACCTGGGATAATATTTGATGAATTTGAATAATTAACACTGGTGGTATATGTGGAAGTCGAAAAGCCATGAAGGTGAATGGTGGAAAAAGGAGTATTTGATAGTGTAGTTGGTGTTTAGTTATGAACAAAGTGATCAGTGTATTCTTTTGATAAAATTTTGAAAACAAATACTGGGTTTAATTACTGAGGTCTAACAGGTCGATTATGAATCAATAGGTGGAGGAAAAGCTACATTCAGTGATCCGTGTTGCTGAGACTATACGACCGAATAAAGCCAGTAATAATAAAAAATAAATTCCTAAATACAATGTATACGAAAGAAGGTCAAACTTACTTTCGCATATCAATATAAGATTTTTGTTCAGCCAATTTTTTACACATTTGGTTTTGTAAATTATTCAGAATGACCTCTGCGATAACTTCTCTTATTAGGACGAGGCTACTCTTGTTGCTTAGTAACCTTGGATGCTACTTCACCCGACAAGTCCCCAAATCAGAAGACGACTGAACAGGAATGAAATTATATTCCAAATAATAAGGGTGGATGGAAGTAGAAATCACAATAAAATAAGCGCTAGTACATTTATAATTTTTACATAAAAAGATTCTAGTCTTTCAAAGTCTACGCTAGCACTGATTGGCTAGGAAAGAGCCAATCAGCGCGCAATCAAAATTCTGCACAGAACATGCTACAATCTAATTTATATTTCGCTAACAACTCCTGTTCATTAATTTCAAATGTAATTCAGTTGTAATTAGTTACTTGATTTTTTGATGCATTTTATCACTATGATTTGTATTCAGCGACAATAATTCAGTTTATAGACTATAATCATTGTAACTGAATACGAATGATTACCTTGAGTATAAATAATAAGTTCCCCAGGATCGTCACCAATACATCTTTTTTAGGAAACTTCTCCCATCCATTGAGCAAGGATTATCATTGAAGTGTTGTATATTAGTTCTCTGGTTTGTCCAGTTAGAATAGATTTCGTTCCGTATGAGAAGTTTCCAAGTCTTCGTAATCGGAAATACAAAACAGAATTTCAATTCACAACACCCGTGTGAGTCACTGATGATCATCTTTACACCATGTAGAGCGTTGAGTTTTGTAACGATTTGGTTTCCCACCCACATGACATTTACTTTGTGAATGTTACTTTAAAGATGGTAAAGTGGCAAGAGGATTATGCTGTTGGAAACGTTCAGTCAGTCAATGCTTTTCGATGGTCGACGCTGAATTGTTTCTATGTGAACCTCTAGAAGACTATTTGACCCACGACAGAGGGAAGACCTCCCAAATACAAAACTGTGATTACATAGTCTGATATGAATCTGGTGACATTGACCAGATGTATCATTTTACCTATTTTTGAGATGTGGCCTGAATTTAGAAAAATTTTAAAGCTTATAAAAGGATATTATGATACTAGTTTATTACGGTTACTAAGATCTTTTCTCGAAATGCTAATACATAGGGGTATATCCAACAGTGGCTAGAATAAACTGTAAAAATCCAGGGGTATCCAAATTAAGACGCGATATCAGCTCATGAAATCAATGACTGCTCATCTGAACTATATTGGTAAGCCCAGACAGCTTGGATAGGGTTCGCATGACCAGTAGTAGACGTTGAGTGAAATGACTTGGAATCGGTCAGTGTAAAAGACGGATTTACCCTTTATCTTCCCTTAGATTTTGAGTTTCTGTGTTTCTTCACACATACCTTTTCATTCCTTTATATCGATCTAATGCTCCGTTTTTCTTATTACCATCGCTACTACATTGTTTCGACTCTGCTAATTTTATTAACTTCAGTTTGTTG